ATTGTCAATACACAATACAATATACTGTATATACAATACACAATACAATATACTGTATATAGAATGCACAATACAATACAAAATAATACAATACAATGCAGCATACCACGTGCACTTTGTCTTTGTTACATTACATACCGCTCCCACTTCAGCCAGCTCCCGATCCCGATTCCCGATACGAGTCTGACCGTGGGTCACCAAGAGAGGGTGAAATCGCTTCCTCGCTCGGTTCCAACTTCAAAATTTGTGCACCGGGCGCTCCCGAGTCCCTCAACAGGTCGTCGCTGTCGCCTCCAGGATGCCGCCACTGCCGCCACACTGCCTGCTGGTCCGGTCCGTCCGTTGCTCCGCCTCCTGCAGCCCTCGCTCCAGTCCTTCACATGCGGCTGAGCGGCCAGGGGAACCAGGGGCGGGGCCTTACGTCACTCACTGACGTAGCCAAGGAAGGACGAGACACTCAGTGAGACTGAGTGTCACTGAGTCTGAGACTGCACTGCACAGGTCAGCGCCGCATCCTTCAGATCCCGCATCCTTCAGATGCCGCCTGCCCTGCAGGGTCTCAGCAGGATGTGCGGGGTCCGAGGAGGCTGTGCTGGTTCTCAGGAGAATGTGTGGGATCTGAGGAGGATGTGCAGGGTCTCAGCAGGATGTGCGGGGTCCGAGGAGGCTGTGCTGGTTCTCAGGAGAATGTGTGGGATCTGAGGAGGATGTGCAGGGTCTCAGCAGGATGTGCGGGGTCTGAGGAGGCTGTGCTGGTTCTCAGGAGAATGTGTGGGATCTGAGGAGGATGTGCAGGGTCTCAGCAGGATGTGCGGGGTCTGAGGAGGCTGTGCTGGTTCTCAGGAGGCTGTGTGGGGTCTTAGCAGGGCTGTGTGAGGTCTGTTTAGTTGGGAAGCTGCAGACTAAGGTTGTGCTTTGTTTCTGCTCACTCAGTTATTTTAAGTGATAATTGCAGAAAGAGCCGTGACCTGGGCGGATCCGAGCTCAGAGATGCCAAAAAAACACAAATAAAGGCATGGGGTGCGAAAAAATTCCATTTCTATCCTTTGTGGATAGAGTTGAACTTCAGGATCAGCAGATATTGTCCCACTACAAGTCATGTCTATTCTTTGTTATTTCCTTAGGAGGCCACTAGAGGGAGCTAAGCGGTATAGGAATTTCCTATTGTCCAGAACGCCATCTAGGGGCACTAGTGGTGTGCAACTGGCATTTGATTTATAGATGTTCTGCCCAGCTATACGTATAATGTATAAATCTGCCCCTATGTTAGCTTTGTGTATTTTTTCCAGATTTGTGCAGTAATCCAATTTGATACATGGAGACCTGTAATAAGGACCGATTCCTGCTGCTCTCTCTCCTTGTACAGGGTGATCAGTCTTCTCTCTGCCCCCTCCTGTAATAAAGACCGGTCACTCCTGCTCTCTCTCCTTGTGCAGGGTGACTGGTCTTGTCTCTGCCCCCTCCTGTAATAAAATCCTGTCTCTGCTGCGCTCTCTTCTTATGAAGGGTGATCGGTCTTCTCTCTGCCCCCCTCTTGTAATAAAGACAACTCACTGCAGCTCTCTCTCCTTCTGCACGGTGACTGGTCTTGTCTCCGACCCCCTCTTATAATGAAGACCGGTCACGGCTGCTCTCTCTCCTTGTACAGGGTGACTGGTCTTGTCTCCGCCCCCTTCTGTAATGAAATCCTGTCTCTGCTGCTCTCTTCTTATGAAGGGTGATCGGTCTTCGCTCTGCCCCCCTCTTGTAATAAAGACCGCTCACTGCAGCTCTCTCTCCTTGTGCAGGGTGACTGGTCTTGTCTCCGCCCCCTCTTGTAATAATGCCAGCTCAATGCTGCTCTCTCTCCTTAATAAAGACCGGTCACTGCTGTTCTCTCATCACTGATTGCCAGGAGCTGGGTGGGACGCCGAGACGGGTAGGGAGGGTGGTGTCACTCAACCACCAACCCCAACCCCCCCCACCCCCCCCAGGTGGTGAAAATGCTAAGCACCACACTGATGAGACCACATAATAAACATATAGAAATAATTTTCTCCAAATGTGACTGCAATGACTGGAATATGACTGGAGATACACTTTAAGCAATTTTCTGATTGAGCAACCGAGTGGGAGTAGTAGTGCTGATGCCTCTGGAAAGTAGTTCCTGGAAAAATACAGAGAAACAAAACATATCGCGGAGAGCAAGATAATATATTGCTCTGACTTTTTTGGTAACACGAGCTGATCTCAGCATTTCACTGGCTTCCTGAATGCTTTCTACAGATTATCTGGAATCGGACAGTTTACAGGAAGGATGAGAGAGCAGGGAGCGAGCGTGTGACTGATACCAGGTCCAGGGATGAGAGAACTCCACAGTCACTGCAGCGCCACTCACACACAACAAGGAGAAGTCTGACCGATAGGCTTCCAGCATCGGGGACCATGAAGAACTCCTACGAGCAGTCCATGGACGATTCCAGTCCAGGTAACAGATTCTTTAACAGATAACAGAATTTCTGAAAAATTTTAGAAGATGAAATCTTAAATTAATGTAATTTTTTTTTTCCAATAAAATGTTATTTTATTTTAAATTTCAACACATATCAAAGAGGATAAGAGTAGTGACGTTGAGTTACAAACAATTTGTGTATGACAGTATAGCCATCATCAACAGGAAAGGCTAATTCCCCAAATAAACTCCTCTATCACTCCATCGCATGACAAATATCGGTCTCATAGGGATCAGAGATATCTAGATTTGTCAGCTGGATAAGCTTACAATTAGGGTTGCACAGATACCAAGTACAGTACTCAGTACAAGTACGAGTACAAGTACCGATACTTTTGAGCTCCAAGACTACACTAGAGAAATGATTTCAGGACAGTGGTGGAGCGCCAGAGCCATGCCCCAGCTGCAACCCCGGTAGTTCTCATGAAAATGCCAAGTATCTGCACTGGTACTCGAAAAGTATCTGTGCATCCCTACTTACAATCACTGAGAAAGATTTAGTCCGTAACCGGACGCAGGCTCCCCAGTGTATTCAACAAGTCTGTTTTTCAAGTACCAGTTGGTATATCTGAAAGGCCGCGCCAGGTGTGCTACTTCCGAAGTTGTTAATGATTTGGCGATGAAGTGTTTCCATCTACGGAAAAAGGATGATGCCAGCTTGTCCTGATGCATTTCGGCATCCAGCCTTTCTTTAGCTAATAACTGTTTCAGATCACTGATGGGTCCCTGTACCCCAGGAGCCAAGGGAGCATTCCTGTGCCTCATTAAGCATCCCCTAGCCCAGGGGCGCCCACAATTTTTTCGTTTGGACTTCTACTTTTCAAATGACGAGCTCAATGAGATCTACCAGCGAAAAAACACTTTTATTTAGAAAACAAGCACATTACAATTGCTACTGGGTCTACTGCCTCTCTCGCGCTCTCTCTCCTATCTCTCTCTGGGACAGTTCACACCACAAAGTCTGATTTCCAGAGAGTTTGGCCTCTGAGAACGCAAGCCAGCCGGCTCCCTGGGGGGGGGGCATGGCTGTGATTTGAAGTCAATGGCACCGCAGCCATGCCCCTTGCCCACCATGTGATCGCCTGCACCCGGAATGCACGTAGTCTCTGCGTTCCGGTCCAGTGCAATCTACAAAAATGCTGCAAGCAATATTTTTGCAGATCGCACTGTACTGGAACGCAGGCACTAATGTGTCCCAGGTGCGGGCAATCGCATGGCGGGTGGGGGGCATGGCTGCAATGCTACTCTACTTCAATGCACTGCCATGCCCCTGAACTCATGGAGCCAGCTGGCTTGCGTTCCAGAGGCCGAATGCATGGAATGCAGACTTTGTGGTGTGAACCGGCCCTATCTCTTGGCTGTCTCTTCTTCCTCTCCTAGCTCTCTGCTGTCTCTCATCTCTCTCACTTCTCTTTCTGCTGTTTCTCTCTCTCTCTCTCTCTGCTTTCTTCTGGCTGTCTTTTCTTACCTGCACTCCAGCAGCTTTCTGGGTCTCCTCTGAGGTGCAGTGTCCAGTCCTCCCGCGGTGCTCGTGTGGCCGAATGTGCAGACTGAGAGAGAGGTGTTCCACTCCTTCCCGTCTGCAGCTTCTGACTAATTCAGCCGCATGAGCACCGCGGGATGACAGGACACAGGTCAGTGAGCCGATCATGATCTACCAGTGTTCCACCTAATGGGCACCCATGCCCTTGCCACTAGTAGGCAGATGTGTAACCAATCCAAGTCCTTGTAGTTGTTATGGCCAGTGGAACGGTATCCGGTAGAATCGTCGAAGTACTCAAAAAGGCATAATGTGTAATCAACTTCAGGTTTCCAGGAGATGATGGTGTTCCAAAAGTCAGACACCTCCGGGCATGCCTAAAGACAGTGATGTAAGGTCGGACGTTCCGCTCCACATTTTGGGCAAACCGAGAGAGTGTGGTAGGGGGGTCTTAATTTCATTTTAAAGGGAATGTTTTACCAAGAAGCCATAGAAAAAAAACGAGAAATAGGGGTTTCTGAGAGGTATAAAACCAATACATGTATAAAAATTATATCCAAATTTTATTATACAGTAATTACATTATATAAAAGAATCGATTGTAATCCATACGAGTATAAAAAAAAAACAATTGGCTAAAACACACACAAAGTGCCCAGGATATGCCCAACGTCAACCAGTTATATCCTAATTAAATATCTTTAGTTGCAAACATAATTGTCATTAATTATTCATTGTTCATTTACGGATTGTCATTAGTTTTTCATTGTTCATTTACTGGAACAGACATATCCGGGTCCCGACGCGTTTCGCACCAAGCTTCTTCAGGGGACCACGGGGGGCTAATCTAACAATAATAAGGTCTGGTGGAAATTTTAGGACGGACCCCAGTTAAAAAAAAAAAAAAA